GGACAGAGTAAGGATATAATAAAAAGTCTTAAACACTAATATTCCATGGTCATAATTTATTCCATTGGAATCGTAAATACGATACAATTCATCAGACCTACAAATTATATATATATATATATATATATATATATATATATATATATATATGAATTACTTAAAAATGAAATTCTATTACCCCATCCAGATGGCAATTTCACCCCCGGGATATTCTCCCTGGTGTTTGTCAATGCAAAAAACCTTTGTTAATTTTTTTTTTTAACAAATTTTTTACCTTGACATAATCCTTGGAGAATATCCCGGGGGTAAAATGGCCATCTGAATGCGGTAATAGAGTTTTATTTTTATGTAATTCATTTATTATATGCTCTATGATAAATATATTAAGCTCTCTTTTGTGGACCGGTTTTAATACTTTATATTATTAGGATCTACTTGGATTACGGATTTTTACCTACATATATATATATATATATATATATATATATATATATATATATATATATATATATATATATATCGTAATGGTAATACATCCGTTGGTATATATTCCCAAGAGAGTTTTATAGGTGGGGGTTTCATTGTCTTTTTATTTGTATTTTATTTTGCACTAATTTAAAGGCAATGCTAGTTGCCATCTACTGTCTTCCTGAAACCTATTCTTTTATTGTCCTTTCTCCTCACTATACTTATTTTTCTTTCACTTCCAGTCATCTACTGTGTCTCAGTGGCATTATCACCTTGCTTGGGGTGAAATGATTAAAAAGAAAAGATCAGTGATTACGCCATCTGACCAAGATTTAGGCCAAATCAAAAAATATATAGAAACCGCATGATAAACGTTTGAATTAAATATTTTTCGTAAATACATAACTTATGGGACACTGGCGGTTAAATAATAAATAGTTATTTTTAGTCTGTTGACGAGAGACTTATTTAAAAACAGTGAAATTTACTTTTAACGACCAAGCTAATCGAAAGTTGTACAAAGAAAATGTTTCCTTTTGGTAGGGATTGACTCTGCATTCTCTTTTTGCATAATAGAAACTACCCTCTAGCAATATATATATATATATATATATATATATATATATATATATATATATATATATATAGTAACCCGGATATAAGAGAGTTGTCGGACTGGAGAAGAAGTCTCTTATATCCGGGTTTCTCTTATATCCGGTTACACTATATATATATATATATATATATATATATATATATAGTTTATGAAAAAACTAGGTAATCCGTATGGGTAAACCTAAGGAGGATAAAATCCAGAGAGCTCAATGTAAATTAGAGCAAATAATTTAAATAAAAATAGACCATTTTTGAAACATGTAATAAATTATTTCACCACAGCCCTTTTAAGGGCTCTGATCATCAGATTTTACTTCCAAAGGTTGAATAAACCTTGGAAGTAAAGTCTGATGATCCGCAGTCTTTTAAAAAACGGCTGTGGTGAAATAATTTATTACATGGAACCTTAAATGGTCTGTTTTATTTAAAATATATATATATATATATATATATATATATATATATATATATATATATGTGTGTGTGTTTGTGTGTGTGTGTGTGTGTGTGTATTTCTCACGGGTGGCACAGCTCTGAGTTAAATAAACAAACATCATCTGTAATCCATAAAATCTCAATTGCAAAAAGACAGTATGCATGTTTGGAGGCAAAAGGTACAGCCCAATATGCAAATTATAAACTGGAAATAAAAAAAAAAGTACAACATTTTAAATTTCTGAGAATTGCTTTAACATAAGACGAAAGACATAGTGGCATAGATAAAGATTTCTTCTAAAGGTAAGCAATATATATTCTAGTATATTGTTTTTTCATTTTAGAAATTATAAAAATTTGTATTGCTTTGATAAATATTTGTCGAGTAATACTTCCTTCCGGCTATAATAGATATCATCTTTTTCTTCATCATCTTACAATTATTATTATTATTATTATTATTATTATTATTATTATTTCATTGGATTTCTCTTGTATAGTCATTTCCTTTCGGATCCCAACCAGAGACATAAGGTCAGAAATGGCTTCATGACATTTTCCACTAATCATTTATGTAAGTAAAAAAATAAGCTCACATACATTTTACATAGATAAAGCTCTTCGTAATGTGTTGAGATGTACTTGTGAGTACAATTTCTTTGTATTCCTTTAAGGGACGAGCTACCAGAAATCCTTTCAATGAGTCTATCGGAATATTTTTCAATCAATCCGGGGGCTTCAACTACAAATGGAATTATTGATGTCCTCATGTGTCAGTTTTTGAGATTTCCACATCAAGGTCTTTGTATTTTGGTAGCTTTTTGAAGATCTTGTAAGATATATTACAATTTGCAGGTACTGCCATGCCAATGAGAAAGGGCATTCTGTTTATGTGGTCTTTGAATATGACATCTGGGCAATTAATTTTGACTGTTCTGTTTGCGTATTGTAATGTTCAATAAAATTGTTACTGGTCAGATTTCTGTAACCAGTTCATACCAGTTTCCTTTTCGTGAAAGTTGCATGGCTTCCATTGCAGATATTGCCTCATTATATTATTTCTAGTTTATTATATTCAGTGTGTGTCAAGACTGTGCAATCTGATAAAAGATAGTCAATTGTTTCGGGTTAACATAATTCTTCAGTATGTGTGCTTAGTATTTTCTACTTACCAATCATTGGTCCTGTACAGCAAGAATAAAACCTTCGGTTTCAGCCTTTAACCCTGCACTACGTAACCACTGATGAGTACGGAGTTTGTCTGCATCAGCTTCTTTGGTTATTATTATTATTATTATTATTATTATTATTATTATTATTATATCCACCCCGATTCTAAGATGTTTGGGCAGGGCGATGATGATGATCAGCGCCATCATCATGTCTCAGCTTTTACCCGTAACAATTATTTCCTCAGCACTATCACCTGCACACCCTCAATGAAGTCAGATATACGCAAGGCATTCTGTGCAGCGGAAAGATTCCTGCAAACAGTCCCAAGTGCGCCAACCACAAGATAGAAAACTTGATATGCTGCTTTCTAATTATAATGATGACAGGTTTCGGCAATAAACCGCGTTTCTCGATGTAGGTTGAGTCCAGTTAGAAAGATCTTCAGCTCTGGCAATCCAGTCCGTATCAAGAGGGCTGTTCCCAAATATCTAGATGCATCTCTCAAAGTCGATTTGACTGACTTAACCCCGCCCACTGGACACCCAGTAATCATTTTCATTTACTACTCCCTCTCATGAACAGAGATGCAGTGTGTTATCCTCAAAGAGACATTCCTTTTTTAATTAATAGTATTAGTATTTTTATTAGTATTCTTGCAAATTAAATTTGTTTTATTTTATCAAATTTTGGTTTTTTCGTATTTATTTTTGTATTTGGTGTTGTTGTTGTGGGTAGAATGGTAGTTTATAAAATCGTATTCATTGCAATAGTTATTTACTAATATTAGTCAGTACTATAGCACAATCGAACTAAATCCTCAGTTATATTCATCCTAAAGTTTATCCTGCAAACTTTTGCTCCAAAGCGAGGTACTGTATTCTTTGTTGTTGTAATGATACTAATGATTATTACTTTGATCCTTACTTTATCACCAGGCTTTTCTTTTGACGAGAGTGGCTAGACAACTAGCGGGATTCTTTTAAAAATCTGTGAAAGTGAGGACGAACGTTATTGGGATGTCAGTGGCCATCTAAGCACTGTGGGGGTATACAGGTGTCCATAGCTACGGCTGGAGCCAGTGATGACACTGTAGAGAGGGGTAGAGGTCTTCCTAGATTGAAATCAACGGCTAGGGCGGATGGCTCTCCACGATGGAATCCCTGAGCAACGAGAGCTTTCATCAGTAGGTTGATGGCTTCCTACAGGTCTGTTTATCCAATGCTTCTCTGGCTTATAAATAGTATTTGCAGAAAATTCGTCGAGTGCTCAGCAGAATAGCAGCTTTACTAGCACACCCATTCATGGAGCTGATGATTTGATGAAAAAGTTAGTGAGATACCTATCGTAACAAATCTGGACTTTAGTCTCGCCATTATGTGCAACGTATGCCTTCATCATCATCATCATCGTTGCCATCATCATTATCATATCTATGTAACTTATTATTATCTTCTTAGACAAAGAATCATATGCGACTGAATATGTTACTTGGAATGGCCTTTGCTGATCACGATCGTTGTTCAGTAATGGGCCGAATCAATTGCATCCAGGCCAATACACCAAAGTTGCATTGTCTCTGTCTCTATGTCTTTATCACTAAGTAGAAAGATTCCTTTTTTTTTCTATTAAATAGCAGAACGCATACAGTTTGTATTAGCAACTTTTATTTTCTCCAGGAGGGAAATTTTGCCGACTACTTATCAGTGAACTAGAAAGAGAAGTAAATGGGAGATAGAAGTTGCAAGCACATATATCTCTATCGAGGTGATAATTCTCATTGAAACTTTTTGAAAAGGGGAGAACTTATTTTTTACCAGGAAATATCGCCTTCTCGCTAATTGCTAATTCGTCAATTCACAGGTCTATGAAAAGGTACAGCCAGATGCCTTCTCTTTTTTTTTCCTTTCTTGCGTCACTCATGACCGTCAACTTACCCCATATAGTGTTTTAGAAATATATTTCCAACAACTTGTTTGACTGTTTCTTCAGTTACGAGATCTTTTCTGTTTTCTTTTTGCTTCTTAATCTTTAACTTTTAGTTGTTTTCTATTTTAGACACACAATTATTAATTCGTTTCGTTTTCTGTTTATTGTTATCTTTCTATATTTTTATTATTAGACGAAATCGTATCTGTATGAGAAAGCCAAACGACAGCCGTGAATGACATAAGAATTTGAAGCTGGCTTGACGGTTATATTTCCCGAGTCACTACTAACTCCGCCACTATGCAACACCTTGAGTGCATGGCGACTGCTTCCAGAGTAAATCAAAGTAAATAGAACGATCTAAATAAAAGGTAAAATTAAAACTAAATTTGATTAAGTGGATAAAAGTGGGAGTGGGGAAAGGTAAGAGGTAAGGGAGTGGCAAAGTGGGAGTGAGGAAAGGTAAGAGGTAAGGGAGTGGCAGTGGCAAAGTGGGAGTGAGGAAAGGTAAGAGGTAAGGGAGTGGCAAAGTGGGAGTGAGGAAAGGTAAGAGGTAAGGGAATGGCAGTGGCAAAGTGGGAGTGAAGAAAGGTAAGAGGTAAGAGAGTGGCAGTGGCAAAGTGGGAGTGAGGAAAGGTAAGAGGTAAGTATGTAGGAGAAGAACCTTTAGAGTGAAGTTTAGTGGGGGCAAAATGTATTTACACCGAAGCAATATGAACAAATGGTGACAATGAAGGCGGATTTCAGCTGTGTGATCACGTGATGGTGTACATGACGTCAGAAGAATTCGACACGGGATACTGTAGGTAAAAAATATCTATGGACGTCCTGCCGCATACACAGTGTACAACGAAGCCATGGCGGGTATATTGACTGACACGTAGAAAACCTAAATACATCCACACACACACACACACATATATATATATATATATATATATATATATATATATATATATATATATATATGTCTATATTTGAGATGAGGTATATAATATTATTTATGATGCTCGGACTATCATCTCGGTGTTGTTATATTTATCACAACGCTTGGTGGTTGTACGCCTGGCCTACTTCAGGTGGTTGGAATGTCGAACTGAAGGAGGCCGGAGCGTACAATGGCCGAACTGTTATGATAAATATGGCAAATAAAGATGAGGATTATAGTCCGAGTAATGTAAATAGTACATATATATATATATATATATATATATATATATATATATATATATATATATATATATATATATATATGAATTTGTGTGTGTGTAAGTGTGTTTGTAGCGAGAGTGAGAGAGATAGACATATCAGATACAGATAGGGCTGTATCAATATGTTCACCCTGTACAGGGGCCAGGTGCCACTCGTGTTAAGAGATAGTTTGTACGGATAGGAGATGAAGGTAGCGGTTATCCTTAGATTTGAACAGGTTAAGATTGTAGTGATCTGGGGAAATATCCTCTTAAGAGTCGGTTCAAAAAGGGCAATGGTTCGCAGGAAGAATCTGTTCTAGTGGAACTTACTTCTCACCAATGGAATACGGAGGGAATGTGGGTAGGTTTTGCTCCTATGTAAGTAGCTTGCCGGATCCTTGCCGTGAAGGTAGGAAATGGCGGAACCTAGGAATATAGTACTTCCGAACACTTTCCAGGAAAGTAACGATAAAGCAGAGAAACTTTGCTATATATATATATATATATATATATATATATATATATGTGTGTACCCATTGTCTAAATGTTTGACGATTCCGGTTAATTGATTATACGTTTTCAAGGGTTTCAATTATACTAATAAAATAAACTTGCAATTCCACTTATGATTATAAGAGAATTGGATTTACAAAAAAATCTTTGAGGGATAAACACTCAGATCTTGCTAATGTCTGAGTCCATCAAAAGTTTCCAAACAAAAACAAAATATTTCGAATTTAATTCCTGATGCACAACTTCGTATTCGATAATTTTATTACTATGTTATTGTATTTTAGCAATAAAAATTAAGCAAACAAATGGGTCAGTTGAATTTAACTAAATTTCTCATGCAACTTATAAATACGATCTATACATTTATATCTACCATCTACACACAGGCATATATATATATATATATATATATATATATATATATATATATATATATATATATTGACCTCCCGTCGGTTTCGACTTAAGTGGATCTGATAACTTAATTGATTCGGTTGGGAAATTTTGTGCAATAATCTTATGGCACTTAAGACCTGTTAGTGATTTAGAAAGGAGGCCACATATGGAGCAAGACTAAGGATTGTGAGATGAGATCACTGTTAGATTGGCTGACCTTTTAGATCTTGCCCTCGCTTCTTGAAGACAATCCAGACAAGCTGATTGAAAACTGCTGAGTCCACTAAAACACGCTGATCACCATTCTACTTATACATAGCATCTATATACTTATATATACCATCTGTAATGAGAAAGGAGGGCCTGGAAAATCTGATACTCACAGGTCGAATAGAAAGAAAGAGAAACGAGGGAAAGCAACGCATGACATATCTGACGGGTTTGATGAAGTGGATAAGTGAACGTGATCTGGGAGAGGTGACAAAGGACGAAACCTATTGAGAGCCACACGGGACAGGAAGAGGTGGAGAAACATAATGGTCTACATCCTGAAAGGACACGGCACATAAAAAATAGAAAGATAGATCTCCATTCTACATATATATAGAATCTATATACTTATATATACCATCTATAATGAGAAAGGAGGGCTCAGTAACTCTCCACACAGTGGGCAAACCTTGTGGAGAGGTACTCAGCTTAATGGGTCGAAACTTTGATGAAGCACGGCGCTCAGCTGAAGATAGTGTTTATATAGTTATATATATTATCAATGTGTTTATAAATACCATCTATGTATTTATAGTGATTTTTCAAGCGTAGTGAGAATCCAACTCACTATTGAATCATAATTGTTCTAGTGAAACAAGCTTGTTAACCATTATAACCGCCTCGGAGTGCCCCCATCTATATGTTTACCTATACCATCTATATATATATATATATATATATATATATATATATATATATATAGATAACTAGACTCTTTTTGAAAACCTCGAATTTTTGATTTGCTAATCAAATCAATCTCGAGGGAAAAAAGGTTTTAAAAAAGAAAGAGCTACAAACATGAACTTCTGCCGACAAAAAAATCGCACAGATGCAGGTCTGAAGCACAAAGAAAAAACCCCGATACGAGTAACAACTAACAAAAGAGCTCAATACAACCGTACAGCAGACCTAGATACACCTAGTGAGCCAGACAAACCTACCTAAACGGATCGTCAGTGAAAGTTTGGCTAACGAGGCGAAGAGAAACACATATTTATAGGTGATAGCTAAAATCATACCACGTGACAAAAACAAAAAACAAAAACAACCTTTAGTGGGTGGGGGGGGTAAATATTTATTCAACAAAAAAAATCCTCAGTGGAAAGTCAATAACGGGAAAACGTCTAATTTAGTAGCCAAGATTTTTATGTCACATACATTGAGAATTTCAGTTTTAGAGTTTAATAGCTGGTTAGGTTGATCATAAAGCTATGGCTAATTTCTCCTCAGCACATAATTTGCAAAATTTATGGCCTGCTTTATATTTTTAGTATTTTTTAATATTTCCCATTTAAGGATGGGGGTCTATATTATCTTCTTTGTTTGGTTTTCCATACGTAGGTAGATAGCGTGGTACTATGTTTAATTTTTGCATTCTTAAAACTACACGTATGGTTATAATATCGTTTTTAAATTTATCCTGAGTAGCACCTATGTATGTTTTAGGGTTAGTATCCTCAGTATTTTTGTAAATTTTCACTTGATACAACCACGCATTCTTGCTGGCATTTTCCCTGTAATGGACAGATGTTTTTGTTTCTACAATTACAAATAGGAGGATTACTACGTGGATCATTCCTAGTTTTTTCTTATTCAATCCAAATATGTGTTTCTCTTTGCCTCGTTAGCCAAACTTTCCCTGACGATCTGTTTAGGTGAAACCTAGGTAGGTTTTTCTGGCTCACTAGGTGTATCTATCTATCTATATATATATATATATATATATATATATATATATATATATATATATATATATACCATCTATATATTTATAATTACCATCTATATCCTTATATATATATATATATATATAATTTAAAGAAAAACACACCATTCTAAGGCTCCATTGTAATAGCTTATTTCCCCAGAGACCTTTTAACGGACGCTGGATCATTAGACATCACTTCCAAAATTTGAAACGTAAAACGAAATGAAAATTTACACTTTTGACGGGTAGTATTAAGTTTATGTAATTTAACAGAGAGGGTAGCGAGGAGTGGTGTGAGAGACATGGTCGAGTTTAGAGAGGGTTTATTTTAATATTTCTTTCTATCATACTTAGTATTGAGGAAGGAGTGACCAGACAATGACCTATTTGAGCGGTTAACTTAACGGAAATGAAACGTTGAAATGGAAAGAGAGAAGAGAGGGAAAAAAAAAAAAAAAAAGAAGGAGGAAGTAAAGAAGTAACTAGGGTTTACGGCGGAAGAAGAGGGGTGGTATAGTATTGGCAATTTAGGTTAAAAAAACAAATTTAACGTTTAATAGTAATTTAAATGTTTAAAAATCAACGAAGAAATTAATTTGATGGTTGCTAGCAATTTAAATATTTAACTCTTTTTACAAATCATTTAAATATATATATATATATATATATATATATATATATATATATATATATATATATATATATATATATATATATATATATATATATATATATATATATGTGTGCATATATGTATCTGGTTGT